GTAGAAATGGTCTTTGGAAACGCACTGTCGATGAACGCAGCGGTTCCAGATAATATGGATGAACTCTGCTCCGGTGTGGGAAGGTGTGATGTTAAAAAGAAGATGGGGGATCGTGTCGAATAAATTCTCAGAGCACTCCCCATGGAACATAACAGCAAATAGACATCAGAGATACGGTCATACCTAATAAACGCGGGCTTGCAATATGCCCTGTGATTTATGTAAATCTTAGGGTAGTGGTTGCGCTAGTTTACAACTGTTAGTTTTTGATTTCGGAAGATAGAAACATTAATTTGGTTTTTGCAAACCCTGTCCCATCCCTCTACATCACTTTACCTACGGACGCGCCACACGATCTCGCTCATACGGTAGGTAAGGTGCGGAAGAGGAATGGGACAGGATTTGCAAAAACCAAATTAATGTTGCTATCTTCCGAAACCAAAAGCTAACAGTTGTAAACCAGAGCAACCAGGTAGTATCATTAGTCGGAGGTCTGATTTATAAATGACAGATACCCAATATTCGTGAACAAAACAATGTTAAAACGGAGTCAAATTGCAACGACAAAAACGTATTTCAATCTCACACAAACGAGCGGGCCCTATCTTTTCAATTTATTCATGAGATATTGTTCGGGCGTGAAAGGCTTAGCGAAATTACCGTAAAGTGCACAGTAATAGACCTCAGCGTATTTCAAAGTCCCATTTCAGAGGCACTATGACCGTTTCGACGCTATTTTTTCCATCCAGACTAAGCCGTTTTGGTTGACTCACTTTGGATTAACGTTTCTTTATTTCTGTATTTCTCTCATTGTATTGAAAATCGGCTGTCACAGTATAACTATGTAGTGTTTATAAGATTCGACGTCGCCCAACTCTCATTACACTCTAGAGCAGTGATTCCCAAAGTGGTCTATATCGACTCCTAGGGGCCTATGACAACCTGCAAGGGGTCTACGTCAGCGAAAAAAAATTTGGGGGTCCACGATAGTGGATCTCAACACATACACTGATAGTACCTATTTACTTACATCATACTATCTTATAATATCAAGACATCATTAGCAGAGGAGATTTAAGATTAACCCTTACAAAATTGACGCCAAATGTTGATAATTTATTATTAAAGCATCAGGTTCATCCTTCTCACTAAAAATATTGACTTATTGCTTATGTTATTTTATTTATAGTTTATTTTATGTTACGTATATTTTACATAACAGATACAAAATTTTATTTTGAGTAGTTTTAATTTAAATTCAATTAATAANCCGACCGCCACGAACGTTGCAAGTGTACCGGTGACCGGAGCCGTCAAAGGGTGCCGGTGCGCTCTGTGATTCAAGCCGCCTGCCGTTGATCGTTGCAAATATTCCGGTGACCCGAGCCATCAAAGGGTGCCGACGCCTTCTGTGATCCAAGCCGCCTGCCGTCGACCGTTGCAGGTGTGCCGGCGGCGCTCGCTGACAAAGGGTGAGGATGCGCTTTGTGATCTAAGCCGCGCGCCGACATATATAGGACATGACAGCTACAAACTGAACTGACCGTTGTAGATATTCCAATACAAAGTGAGTGATATATGTATCCTTAGCTAATGATCTAGACGAAGAAATGATTTTATTGAGAAACCAATCAATTGAATTGGATCACTGAGCTAGTGATCTAAATGAGCTAGTGAGCTAAATGAGTGATATATATCTTTAGAGCGAAATGATATGTACATATCTTTTCAGCTAAGTGATACATTTTGCGCATCTTTATATTCAACGAATCACAGGTGGATGGTCCAGCTCCGAAGGACCATGAAGGAATCACGGTCTGACGATGAGTCCTCGAAGATCTTGGGACGCTTACTTGCCCATTAAAGGTCCCGGCGGGTTCAGCCGAGTGAAACACTGCTCGCTGTCCGACGAAATACAACTAATAAAACATCATTTCCCATATACATATTTTGAGAACACACATCGATAGTGAAATTTAAGTTTTACAACTAACGTCATCTGTTGGCGACATTCAAATAAAATTACTAATTATTTACTGATTATTACTCTACACATAAGCTTTTTTTATTTTCAAAACGACGTGATACTCAAATATAAATAATAATATAATAATATTAATCAAATATAAATATTTATAATAAATAATCACCGCCAATACCATACACTAGATTTTGAAATATAATGAAAAGATGTATTTGCCAAATGTTTTGCAAAAAATGATCATGACACACAGACAGATTCAGAGGATAAAAAGTCGTGTGGCACTCGGGGACTGCCGCGGTAAAACTATTGCATAGTTTTTTTTATCAACTTATGCAATTATAATCAAACAATAATAATTTAATATTAAAACAATAATAAAATAAGACCACGCTATATTTATAAACATTAACTAAAGCAAAACATTAACTGTCCCCTTCACACTCATAAGCTAGAACGCGCGAGAGAAAGATGGACAAACTTTTTATGATGCGCATACAGTGCGACGTCACGCCGCGCGCTGTGTGAATGTGTTGGACGCGAGCTACGTGGTAGGCGGAGTGGGGGTGTTAGGTCTTATTTTCGTTACGGAATTTCTTGATTCGGTCGCAGCGCTCAAAGCCTGCGATAAAAGCTATGCAACAGATTAAAAACGAATGTTTCGTTTTTTGTCATTAGGGTATGGAAGCCCAAATTTGGCGCGATTCGGTTAAGGGATTGTAAAATTTTATATATATTATGTATTTATGTTTGTGTATATAAGGTTGAAAGGGCCAAAGACAGAGCTCATTAGCGAGTGCGAGAGAAGTCTATACAACGTATAAATAGATCATTTCCGAAGTCGAAACGTGAATCTATACTAATATTATAAAGAGGAAAGATTTGTTTGTTTGTTTGTATTGAATAGGCTCCGAAACTACTGAACCGATTTGAAAAATTCTTTCACTGCTTGGAAGCTACACTATTCCCGAGTGACATAGGCTATAATCTTTTTTGAAAAAAATTTGGGATCCTTACTAAAACTCCAATAATGTAACCCAAGATGTAAAAAAAATACCTAAAATATTCTTTACATCGCGTGCCCTGAGAAAAGTATTGATGATAGAATAAAATAATGTACTACGACTTTGTAGAACACATTATTATTTACAAAAAGTGTCGCGACAGCATATGTCTAACTATTAGTTTTGCCGCAATAAGTGTTCTTTTATTTAAAAAAATAAAACAACGTCAAATATCGTAGAAATTTTTGTTAAAGACCCGAGCGGAGCCGGAGCGGGCCGCTAGTAAATAATAAATTGAAAATAAATATCAAAGCCTATCATTATCATTGACGAGTGATTTCAGTTTGTTCAAGTTAGGTAAACCTGCAATGGAACGCTATAAAATATAATTATGTACACTCATAACCGTAAATAATGCGCGTAAGTTAAATTTTGTCGTATTTAACAATCAAAAGGAAACGTTAGTAAAATATATTATAAAATTATAAACATATTCTGCTCCTGAGTAGTTATGCGTTCCGGTTTGAATAGCAAGATAGTCGTTATACAAAATGCTGCGATAAGACCTAGACATAAGGTTGAAGTCTCAATGGTCTTGTGTAACAGCGCAATCGAAAACAAATGACTATTTCTGAGCAGATATTTCTGTTTAGTAGCCGGATGGTGGCATTGACCCGTGTGGGAATACTATATGAATTAACCCCAGTAATTATTCAAATCTCTATTTATACAACCACCTATATAACGATATGAATATTAAAATTTGTACGTTCGGATGATTATTAAGCAATCACGCAGAAATGGCAATATGGATTTGGATTAAATTACGTCCTAGGATAGTTTGTAGCATCTATTAGTAAATAGAATGGTTTTTATCGCAAAAAAAAAAATTGCCCGAGCTACGCCGGCTGTTCCTGCTGTATTCTACAGTGTTTTCGAACAAGTCGACTCTGTCCCAAAAAAGTGCAACGTGTTTTAGTCTTTCTTAATTACAAATTTAACGCGGATGAAACGTCTACTTTATGTTATTAAAATATTTAAAAAAAAATAATCTAATATTTAAAAAAAATACATGCCCGCTGAGTTTCTTGCCAGTTCTTCTCAGGACGGAGGCTAGTTTTTGTGAATTGGCGATAGTTCTTTTTGACGTTCAACAAGTGTGTACTTTCATTTATGTTGAATAAAAAAAATTGGATTTTATTTGATTTGATTATTATTTTGATTGCTTGAACAATGCTTGTCTGTTCGAAGGATTGTTCGAATTGTAAATATTAATAACATTAAAATGTACGGGGCATAATGTAATTATTATTCTGTGTGGCGCGCTTGCGAAATAGATTATCTCAATGTCATGTTAAGTTACTTGCCCCTTGTCATCTAGCGCCCCTAGGCATGGCGTAATATAAACCAATACAGTTTTGGTATAGCAAAGAGCTGTTCGCTAAATAGTATTAGTCGTGATTTTCCTTTCTTCAAGTCAGAGGGTCTTGTGAGCCCCCACTGCCCTACCTATTTCAAAGCAAAGCACTAATACACTGCGGTTTAAAGGACATGAAAGCGGTGGCGGGCGGTGCGATGGTAAATTTTTTCTAATGAAATACGTACTCAACAAATGTTCACGATTTACTTCCACGGTGAAGGAATAACATTGTGTAATAAAAATCAAACCCGCAACATTATAATTTGCGTAATTACTGGTAGTAGGACCTCTTGTGAGTCCGCGCGGGTAGGTACCACCACCTTGCCTATTTCTGCCGTGAAGCAGTAGTGCGTTTCGGTTTTAAGCGTGGGGTAGCCGTTGTAACTATACTGAGACCTTAGAACTTATATCTCAAGGTGGGTGACGCATTTACGTTGTAGATGTCTATGGGCTCCAGTAACCACTTAATGGCAGGCGAGCTGTGAGCTCGTCCACCCATTTAAGCAATAAAAAAAGCAACTCTTACCACAATCAAGTGCAACAATCAAGAGCTCTAACTACTACACTGCCGAATCAGCAGTGTGTGAACACCAACCTTAATCTTCCCTCGGATGAAGTGATGTTTTTGTACCGTGAACTGCATAGTGCTGTACGCAGACATAGTACCGCCTTCCGTGTCGCCGTCCACTCGATGCATTACATGCTGACTTAGTGCCTACGAATAAAAACACTTATTACAACTGTTTTAGGACGTTTTTTGATCACACAAAATAGAAAACACTTCTTACTGGTGATAGGACCTCTTGTGAGTCAGCACGAGTAGATACCACCACCCCGCCTTTTTCTGCCGTGAAGCAGTGATGCGTTTCAGTTTGAAGGATGGGGCAGCCGTTGTAACTACGAGTATACTGAGACTTTAGAACTTATATCTCAAGGTGGGTGGCGTATTTACGTCGTAGATTTCTATGGGCTCCAGTAACCACTTCACACCAGGTGGGCTGTGAGCTCGTCCACTCATCTAAGCAATAAAAAAAAAAAAAAAAAAAAAAAAAAAAAAAAAAAAAAAAAAAAAAAAAACGTACTGTCGATGAACGTAGCGGTTCCAAATAATATGGATGAACTCTGCTCCGGTGTGGGAAGGTGTGATGTTAAAAAGAAGATGGGGGATCGTGTCGAATAATTCCTCAGAGCACTCCCCATGGAACATTACAGCAAATAGACATCAGAAATACGGTCATACCCAATAAACGCGGGCTTGCAATATGCCCTGTGATTTATGTAAATCTTAGAGTAGTGGTTGCGCTGGTTTACAACTGTTAGTTTTTGATTTCGGAAGATAGCAACATTAATTTGGTTTTTGCAAACCCTGTCCCATCCCTCTACATCACTTTACCTACCGACGCGCGCGGTAGTTCAGTAATTACATTTTCTTCTCGAGTCGATGTCGCCACACGATCTCGCTCGTACGATAGGTAAGGCGCGGAAGAGGAATGGGACAGGATTTGCAAAAACCAAATTAATGTTGCTATCTTCCGAAACCAAAAACTAACAGTTGTAAACCAGAGCAACCAGGTAGTATCATTAGTCGACGGTCTGATTTATAAATGACAGATACCCAATATTCGTGAACAAAACAATGTTAAAACGGAGTCAAATTGCAACGACAAAAACGTATTTCAATCTCACACAAACGAGCGGGCCCTATCTTTTCAATTTATTCATGAGATATTGTTCGGGCGTGAAAGGCTTAGCGAAATTACCGTAAAGTGCACAGTAATAGACCTCAGCGTATTTCAAAGTCCCATTTCAGAGGCACTATGACCGTTTCGACGCTATTTTTTCCATCCAGACTAAGCCGTTTTGGTTGACTCACTTTGGATTAATGTTTCTTTATTTCTGTATTTCTCTCATTGTATTGAAAATCGGCTGTCACAGTATAACTATGTAGTGTTTATAAGATTCGACGTCGCCCAATTCTCATTACACTCTAGAGCAGTGATTCCCAAAGTGGTCTATATCGACCCCTAGGGGTCTATGAAAACCTGCAAGGGGTCTATTCCAGCGAAAAAAAATTTGGGAGTCCACGATAGTGGATCTCAACACATACACTGATAGTACCTATTTACTTACATCATACTATCTTATAATATCAAGACATCATTAGCCGAGGAGATTTAAGATTAACCCTTACAAAATTGACGCCAAATGTTGATAATTTATTATTAAAGCATCAGGTTCATCCTTCTCACTAAAATATTGACTTATTGCTTATGTTATTTTATTTATAGTTTATTTTATGTTACGTATATTTTACATAACAGATACAAAATTTTATTTTGAGTAGTTTTAATTTAAATTCAATTAATAAATATATAAATTAAAATGTGTTTTTACTTTAAGTTTTTAACACTAAACTTTACTACAGTTAGAAATTTACAGGAAATCAATATCCTAGTAAGTAGGGGGTCTACCCAACACGGAAAAACATGGCAAGGGGTCTACGACACAAAAAAGTTTGGGGAACTCTGCTCTAGAGTCAAGAATATTAAAGTTTAATTTTCGTTTTATAGCTGTATGAATTCCTTTTGATCATTAATGAATTTTAATGCATCAACAATTACAAATAGTGATCGTTCTATTTTTTGTTTGGTTATTAGATCATTATTTGTTTTTTTTTTTATGTTTTTTTAGACTGACTTGTCAGCTTGTCTGGGTAAATAGTGATTTCGAGGCCATGTTTGAAGATAAGCTACTGCTTCCACATAATCTATAAGCAGTTGTGTCCATTTCATAGTTAGAAGGTCTCAGATTGTTGACATGACTATTAATTAGAAATGGTGAAATTTTTAATACGAAACCTTACGTTTAACACTAGGTGCATTTTTGTACCAATAAAAAGAAAAACATTAATGCGATTTGAAAATCAACATTCCCTTTGCTATTATCTCAAATATATTTTGTATATTATTTTCTAATAAAGCCGCACTTGAGCTTCCCTAAAGCGTCGAACGCGTAGGAAAGAACAGCTGCTTCTTACAGACTCGAAAAAAATCATTTAAATAATTCTCAATCGGAATCATAAAAACTCACGTACCCTGTAATCACACATGTATATATTTTGTAAAATAAGTAGAAAAAAAAGCAGTCCGGGACGAAGGTAGTCTATGTCACTCTCTGGATTATCATTTACATTACTATCTCTTCCCAAAAATTACTGTCTATCCACTGCTATTCCACAGCTATTGTGAAAGCGAATAGATACATACATAATATATACATGTATTTATACCTTTCTTGGCTTTTTTCTTCTAAACCTAAAAAAATACTAATTGTGTATATACACAATATAATCATTTTTGGGGGTCCGGCATAAGTTGTTTTCTTATTATTGAACCAAGAACCTGTTCACAGTTTACCTGTGTACATTCCCAATATTTTTTTCTATTAAACAAGAACTGATTTGGACTTGATTTTGACTGATATCTTATATCATATACCTTTAAACGAGCAATTCTTGTATATTTATATATAATCTGAATCTCGGAAACGGATCCAACGATTTTCATAAAATTTAGTATACAGGGGATTTGGGGGGCGATAAATCGATCTGGCTACGATTTATTTTCAGAAAATGTTGTTTTATTCGTGTTTTCAATAATAAACTTTATCGATAATCAACTTTATTACTCTTTCTGACATCTATTGGCGAATAATAATACTATTTTTCTTAATTGAGAGCAACTAACAGCTTTAAAGACACAACAAGATGGCGCTATAAAAAAAACTGGTCATCATCTAGTTACATATAAAATGAAAAAAAAGCATTTTATTTCATGTTAAACTAACTTAATATTTCCGAGATAACATCAAAGCAGTGGACATGTTTACGGTTGGGTAGATTATAATTTCGTTAGAAAGCGTCACAGGCCCCGATTAGGCCCAGCAATTAATGTAATTGATTTACTTTCTTAATAGCACTGAAATCTAGTTTGTTTGGTTAACTTCGAGTTTGTTCTGTGACTTCGGTCGAGGTTCGGTTAGGTATCGATCGGGCTCAGTCATCGGGCAATTTGTCGAATCGGCCCATTAAAACTAAACCGATAATTATTGGGCATGTAATTTCATTTCAAAACAGAACGAAAATTACGGGTTTGTTTCGAATTGAAATTTGTAAGATAATTAGACGTACTTAGTGAGATTTCAAGAGAATAAATTATAGATTTGTGTAGTTTTTTCTATTGTGAATCTTTAAGTAAATTCGTTTTGTCGAACATTCTAACTACTTCTACATGTAATTTTGAAGCTTTAATTAAAGTGTTAAAATTCAGTTTTGCTTAATTAATCCACCAATATCTTAGTCATGCCAAGGAATTCATTGAAATCACTTGAAGCAACAGAGACTGACTGATCTAAGTTTCATTGACTAAGCTCCTTCCTCTTCTATTTTCAAAACCGTCATTCTCAGCTTCCATCAATTGCATGGTTCACTCGCAACATATTTTTAGTTCTTACCGGAGCCTATAGATATCAACAAAGTAAATGCCACCAACCACCTTGAGACATGAGTTCTAAGTCTCATTTTTATAGTACAACGGCTGTTCAACTCTTCAAGCCGGAACGCATGACTGTTTCGCCGCCACAGGGTGGTGGTACCGACACGCACGTGGCTAGCAAGACACCCATACATCAGCGAATACCGCTTTTTAAGGAAGCAACCATAAATGTTAATTAGCATCGCGTGGGCTGTGAGCTCATCTGCCCACAAATACCTATATAAACATACGCAATATGCGGACGTGTCTCTAATCAAACGTTAACATCATACGTAAACATTTTTTATGATAAAAGAGCTCTTGAAAAATTTTAACAATTTATCCGGGACACGTGTATTCTTGTTCTACTTGTTATAAAATTGCAGCCCGCTTCGTTTTCTGGAGAACGCTACAAGTTTGCCTCGTCGTCTAAAATATTGTGCTAGTAATATTTTATTTTATTTCTAGAACATTTTAAATTACGTAGTCTTCTTTGTTGATCTTTTTTTGTGTTATTTAAGAGCAGCACGCGTGTCTTATTAGTTTTGATGATTTTTATTACGAATAATACAATGCTGTAATACAATTTCTGTGTACCGCTAGACTTTAGAAATTAAATAATATGTGTGTTTATGAGTATATAGATTTGAATAAATATTAGTTGCATGCTTTGTGAGTCTGCACTACCAATACTACACATTTCCAGTGTAAAGCAGTCTTCTTTTAAGAAACAACTGAAACTATGACCTAATAATATCTTAGAGTTGTGCTTCGATAGTCACGTAACTAGGGCTGTGACCTCACCTTCAAAACTAGAGCAAAAAATATCTCTTAAAGCGAGGTCTTAGAAGTGATCGCGCTATGAAAAGTGATCAGTTGCGACTGAATTTTTACGATAAGCCCTAATGGTACCTGATTGTTTCAGGAAACAATTAATATGTGAAGTGCACTCACTGATGCTGTAATTTCAATCTAAGAGGCTACGTATAATTTTCCCATCCTTGAATGACATCCAACATAGCTGAAAAACACTATGTATAATATATTCAATTTTCACGAATTGTAGACAAAATTAAAATCACTTTAATTATGTAACAGGAGTTTTTATCATGTCAAATACGGACAACTGTTTTATTTATTTTTTATTAACTAGCTGACCCAGCAGACTTCGTAGTGCCTCAATCGATAAATAAAAGACACATCAAGGGGACACATCAAAGGAAAAACAAAATTGTTTGTTTTTATATAATTCCGAGCTTTTTTATATTTTCTCACATTTTAAACCTTCCCAGAACTTCCACGAATAATTCAAGACCAAAATTAGCCAAATCGGTCCAGCCGTTCTCGAGTTTTAGCGTGACTAACGAACAGCAATTCATTTTATATATAGAGATTAAATGTAAACTAGATAGTTATTAATATAATGACCGCTGATATGACATATTTCAAGCTGTAACAGTAGGTTACTAGGGTTGAGCAGGCACCATTATCCGGCCCATTTCATTTGTTATTACAAACCAGTTGGAATTGACTCTCCGTGATAGAAATTGGGCCGCGACTTCAGTATTTTATTTTCTACTGGCTGACCCGGCAAACTTCGTAGTGCCTCAATCCATAAATAAAAGACCTAAACTTTTGTATAAAATAAACTTAAAACAAACAAAAGGAATCCGTCCGACGGGGGACATATCAAAGGAAAAACAAAATTGTTATTTTTATTTAATTCCGAGAATTTTCATATTTATCTACCTTTTAAACCTACTCTGGACTGCCACAAATAATTCAAGACCAAAATTAGCCAAATCGGTCCAGCCGTTCTCGAGTTTTAGCGAGACTAACGAACAGCAATTTATTTTTATATATAGAAGAAGAATTATAATTTATATTATTATAATTATTATTTAAGGGGAATTATAAACAACAAACTGTTTCAAGACCATGACCACGACCCTCAGTAATGAGGAAAACGAAACAAGGAGGAAGAGAAGAAGAAGATGTGTCAAAGCACCCACTCAATACTACGACAAAAAATTAAGTAAATTTGAATGTAAGGGGCTGACGACCCTATAGACATATCAAAGTGAAAGCTGACACCCACCCTGGTAAATGAGGAGAAAGATTCAATTGTTATGCGACTTACTCTACCTTCAAAGGCTATTTTTCACAAGAAAAAAACATAACTCCAGTGAAAATATGTCATAGTACATGCGCGCAAAGCCAAGCAAGAGGGCGTATTATTGTAACAACAAAAAAAAAACGTAAACTAAATAATACTGAATTACAATCAGTCGCCGACAACATTAAAATACAAAAAAGACAAACTTACAAATGCGAAACTCAGTGGAACCAACATTAACATATAAAATTAGTAAGTGAACAAAGCGTGTCCCATTTGAACAAGCGGAGACAAGTCAACGCCATGCAGCCTTTTTCCACTTTTATTTTTATTCAAAGTGGATATTTCAAAGGAATTAATTCGTAACTTTTTAGCTTTTAGTGGCCAGATAAATGATAATTTTACGACCTTTTTTAAAGACGTATGAAATGAATCTTGAAAAACTTTCAAAGGAATGCTGGCAACTTTTTCGTTTTCAACGAAAGATAAAGTTGTTTTTACTTTAGGCTTCAATAGAAACTTTAACAATTATTTTTTTATTACTAAAGATTCTTAACTCATTAGATTAGATTCAGTTCACCCAATGAAAAAATATATGAAGACGGAACGTCTAATGACTACTCCATTAATAGTGTCTACCAATCTTTCTTTTATGTGTAAGAAATTTTAAAGTGTGCATTTTTAAATAAATACACTAAGAACTTACATTTTTTTTAAATATGAATTTAAAATATTAGTACAACATAAAATATGCAATGTCAAATAATCACTGTCACGCATGAAATGAAAAAACACTAGAGGCTCAGTCGCGTGGCTGCTTACAGTAAAATACTTTAAGCAAGCCTTATTGCAAGAAATATATACTGGAAGAATCTTAAAGTTTAAGTTCTGTAAAACTAGTAATTATGTTGATAGTTTGAAAGCATCGTGTCTCTAAGGATAATAAATAGGCTTTAGCAGCGATAGCTATTATTGAATAGAAGACATTTGACATAAAAATCCTCCATGTCGTTAAACTGTCAAAAGACGATGTCATGTGTACAATAATGAAGATAGATCGTAGCTAATACTAAAAACCTATTTAAATAATTATTATTTTGTACTAATATTTTACATGTAGTGTAGACGTAAAACGTGTAGAAATGAAATTGGTTGAGACGCGTTGCCAACGGTCTTGTGTGACGCGAGGGAACGTCTACGGGTTGTTATCGTCGCCATAGAGTTTGTGAGATATATACTTGGTAATACCGCGTAGTGCCGACGTTAATTACACATTTTGAAACAGCAGCCGCGTGATGTGACACTAATTAAACTATGCTTCACACGAGCCTGTCACGATTAGTATTGTGGATTTAAAATTTACTAGTAGCGTTTTCCTAAAAATGACATAACTAATACCAGTGTTGCGTTGCTAAAATATTTGCATCGTGAGCTGTTAGAGCTGTTCTTGGTTGTATTTTTCAATCAATATATTTGTCGTGAAAAACGACTTGAGTAATATTAAGACATTGTTTTCGTTGCTATTTAAATGATAAGATGTTGTTTTGATAAATATAAAAAAAATGTCGGGTAGATGCTGTAACGCCAGAGTATCAAAATGGCGGTACGTGGAAAGAGTCGTCTGAGTCAGTCTCAGGCAGTCAGTTAGTGTTAATCAGTCTGTCAGTCAGTCAGTTGAAACGAAGCTGTCGGTTTACCCTGTCATTTTGAAAATTATGTGTTGATAGTTTCAATAATGATTATTGAAAAGGTTCTATCGCCATTTATTGCAACACACTGAGTTCTACCAAATACGAATGATGACGCATACTGCCGCTCAGCCATCCCTAACGCCGTCATATATTTGAATCTTAAATAAATAACACTTTCAATTTTTGTAGAACATAAGGTTTTTTCCTACAGTTTTACTTCACTATTTTAAAATGGATAACATTCGAAAGTCGAAAGTTTCCATATTTTCGTAGAAGTTTATGTAGAACTTTTTCCGATTTTTCGAAGTCGATTTTTAGACTTCACTCATCGTAAGTACTTCAAGAATTTTAAACATACGTCTCTTGTCGGGTTCCCGAGTTTTTATTAAAACGGAGGAACGTTGAGAGGCACTGACCTATTGACCTATGAACTACTTTATGCAAGTCTAATGCATCCTTTCAATTCAGTGATCGCTATACCTTACAATAAATTAAATGAACATTTCATATTGTATTTTATTAGCATATTACTAAAAAAAATTGGTAGTTCATTGATTCGTTCGATCGTCCGTTCATGGGATCCCTTTGATCGTTCTTGTATAGTTTTCCTCGCACACGTTACGTAGACCCTTATAAATCGATTGATTTTAGTCCTTTTATAGCGCACTCACCGGTTCGCTGTTTATGAAGAACGACAGATTCGCTGCCGGCAACGAGTTATAGCTGACACATTCCACTTTGAGCGTGTTTCCCGGTCGGTAACGTCGCTTCAGGCCGTGTAGTCCCGGTCCTTCCACAGGCAGAACTGCAAATAAAATTAATTCGTCATACAAAGCCGATAAAGTGTATTTTCCAATTCTACGACCAGTGCAGGTCGTATGTTTAGTGACGTAAAGATATTTGGAGCTACAGGTACCGAAATACGACATGAATACTACCACACAGATTGAATTTATCCCATCCGCTCTAGCATTAGAAGCGCGCGGCAATTTCACGCTTTCGACCGAAGCGCAATTATTGCTTCGCAGCAGAAATATGCGGGGTGGTGTTACCAACTTGAGCGAATATTCCCAAGAAATAGAAGTTACTAAAATTTAATTTTACATGTTGCATTTAATTGCACGATGCTACACGTTTTTTCCCAAAATATATCTGTAGTAGTATTTTGTACGCAGCGACTTGGCGTCCATAGCCGACAGTAATCACTCACTACCAGGTGAGCCGTACGCTCAATCTGTCTACAAAGGCATAAAATTATAGTAATCTCTATATATAAAAATTAATTGCTGTTCGTTAGTCTCGATAAAACACGAGAACTGCTGGACCGATTTGGCTAATTTTGGTCTTGAATTATTTGTGGAAGTCCAGAGATGGTTTAAAAGATAGATAAATATGAAAATGTTCGGAATTAAATAAAAATAAGAATTTTGTTTTCTCTTTGATTTGTCCCCCGTCGGACGGATTCCTTTTGTTTGTTTTAAGTTTATTTTATACAAAAATTTAGGTCTTTTATTTATCGATTGAGGCACTACAAAGTCTGCCGGGTCAGCTAGTATGTAATACAATTTTCAGAGAAAAACTGACGATAATAATTTGTAGCATGTGAGCATTATATTTAAACAAATTGGGCCGATAATTTTAATATTAATTTTACATTTAGTAAGCTTACAAGACATATAAGACATATTATATGAACACAATAGTGACTATGACTATTACTTACCAACAACGTACATGTGAGTATGCACTTGTGCAGTTTGGAATGAAGGTGCGTCTGCCGATACCTCGCACGTGTACCGTCCGCTGGCTGTTTGCGTCGCTGCTTCTATTGTCAGACGTTCAGCATCCGTTCCTTCCCTCTGCGAAATGAAATTCCACATTAGCAATTCGTCAACAATGACTTCGCAAAACTGTTTTGTTTAATTCACAATTTAATAATTACTGGTGGTAGGACCTCTTGTGAGTCCGCACGGGTACTACCACCATCCTACCGATTTCTGCCGTGAAGCAGTAATGCGTTTCCGTTTGAAGGGTGGGGCAGCCGTTGTAACTGTACTTGAGACCTTAGAACTTATATCTCAAGGTGGGTGGCGCATTTACGTTGTAGATGTATATGGGCTCCAGTTACCACTTAGCACCAGGTGGGCTGTGAGCTCGTTCACCCAACTAAGCAATAAAAAAAGTTATAATAAAAAAATACACTTTAATACAAAATTATTATTGTGGTGACAGTCCGGAACATTTCAAGTCAAACAACAAAATCGACTCTGCAAATATCACTGTGGCCCGTCTACCGAAACATGACTAAAATAATAACAATAATAACGACGATAATTATTATTCCATTGCGGGGCAGCCTGCCGTCTAATTTGAGCACGCTTCGAAGCCCGCACGCCTCAAGATTCCGTAACTTAGTCAACAATCTGACAACCGATCGCAAGTCTCGCGATGAGCTAAACAAATAAGTCGGGATGACTCCGTACATTTCTCCAAAACTTTTCGCTTGTTTAAAGTTTAGAAAATACGTATCCGTCCGCGCGGGTCGTGAACAATGTTTATTAACGTTCCGTGTAATCACCGAGGGAGGGAACTTTTAAATTCGTCGCGGATTATATCTGCTAAGGAAAATGCCTTTTGCGTCCGGGCAAACGTGACTAATAGCAGTAGGCCTTCCGACTGACCCTCGCGTCTTGCTGGATCCGGAACGGATTACGGCTTCATCCGGGTCACGAAATACTCTTCACTGGCTACACCAGATGGCTTCTTTACTATCTACTAACTACAACGACAGGGGCCCAATAAATAATAGTTTAAAAAACGAACAAAATACGGTTTTATAGGAAATCCAACTAAAAAATTGAAAACAAATTTTAATAAATTTGAAAGAATTATAGTGTAATAAAAAATGATTTTATTTAAAAAAAGCGTGGGGTGCTTTTCAGGATATTATCAAAATAACCCTTCTGCTCATATCTGTTCATAAAATATTTATAGCTACTGATACCATGCACCGCACGCTTTTTTTTACAATATAATTATTTTTTCTTACACTATTTTTAATTCAAATTTATTAAAAAAAAAATCAATTTTTAGTAGGATTTTCTATAAAAGCGTATTTTGTTAGTTTTTTTAAGCTATTATTTATTTTTCATTTTTTAGTTGAATTTCAAATTTTTTTAATATTGAATTGTCATCGGTCCTTAAATAAGTATGCCAAATTTCGAGTTAACCCGACGTTTTGGAGGGGGTCAAAATCATGTTCAAAGATTCCGTTACAAACATACATAACTAGTCAGGTCATAAGTATTGTCACACTGTAAAAACTTTTCTTTTAGAATGCTGGCCACAAAAAAGTTTATTGAATTCGAATTTCGAATTGTTCATGAAAATAAAAATGTATACTTTTAGAATTTTACTCATTTTTAAATATGGAGTGGACGCTTAAAGAAGACCGTGTTGCAGTTATTGCGTTGCATCGTTGCGGTTACGCGCCAATTCAAATTTTTAACATACTGAAAAATTTGAATATAACCAAAAGATTCGTTTATCGTACCATCAAACGATACAATGAAGACTCTAGTGTAGATGACAGGTCAAGAAGTGGTCGCCCTCGGTCTGTTAGGACTCCAGCAGTGATAAAAGCTGTGAAGGCGCGAATTCAAAGAAATCCCAAACGTAAGCAGAAACTGTTGGCCCTTCAGATGGGGTTAAGCAGAACCACGGTGAAAAGGGTGTTAAATGAAGACTTAGGGCTTCGGGCATATCGAAGAAAAACAGGACATCGTTTGAATGCTCGTCTAATGGACCTGAGACTGAAGAGATGCCGCGCTTTGTTGAAGCGGTACGCGGGAAAAAAATATCGGGAAATTCTTTTTTCGGATGAAAAAATTTTTACCGTAGAAGAGAGCTACAACAAACAAAATGATAAGGTGTACGCACACAGTAGTGAAGAAGCGAGCAACCGTATTCCGCGTGTCCAACGAGGTCATTTTCCATCCTCGCTCATGGTATGGTTGGGAGTTTCTTATTGGGGCTTAACAGAGGTACATTTTTGTGAGAAAGGTGTAAAAACGAATGCAGTTGTGTATCAAAATACAGTCCTGACGAACCTTGTGGAACCTGTTTCTCATACCATGTTCAATAACAGGCACTGGGTATTCCAACAAGATTCGGCGCCAGCTCATAGAGCGAAGAGCACACAAGACTGGGCGGCGGCGCGTGAAATCGACTTCATCCGGCACGAAGACTGGCCCTCCTCCAGTCCAGATTTGAATCCGTTAGATTACAAGATATGGCAACACTTAGAGGAAAAGGCGTGCTCAAAGCCTCATCACAATTTGGAGTCACTCAAGACATCCTTGATTAAGGCAGCCGCCGATATTGACATGGACCTCGTTCGTGCTGCGATAGACGACTGGCCGCGCAGATTGAAGGCCTGTATTCAAAATCACGGAGGTAATTTTGAATAAACTTTAGTGTCATAAGAATCTATGTTTTGTTAAGTTCATTTTGGTATATGAATCGTTACATAATGAATAAACTTGTTTCAATTATTTTACATTAAACATGTGACAGAATTTATGACCTGACTAGGTACTAACATACATACGTCTGAAGCTAATAAAAGCGTATTAAAAAAAATATTCAGACATTATTTTCTCGGAGTTTTTAGCATAGATCTAAGAGTATATTATAGTAACAGTTGACACTAGGAAATAATATGACATGACTCGACGTTGAACAAGTAATTGCGAGCTCGCTTCCGTGAAATTCAATATGAACGAGGGCGACGTCTTATTACGTAACACTATATTATTATCATTTCCTTGACTATAAATCTTCTTGTTTCTACATATTTATACATTCCTGCAAACGCCACGCCACACGACAGATTTGCTTAATAATAACGACGTTGTGTAGAGCACTATTCGAGTTTTATTAAAGTTGCTTTATAACCGTAAATAAGCAACGAATTCTGCTCATAACCACTGTTGTTGATAGCTTTGATAGAATATCTTGTGTGTAGTAAAACGCACAAGCTACGGCTATCAAATTCAATCATCAATTTCAACTTTTTACTTAATATCCTTTGTATGCATTTCGTAATACTTATAACGTTTTTTTTTATTGCTTATATGTGTGGACGATCTCACAGCCCACCTGGTGTTAAGTGGTTACTGGAGCCCATAGACATCTACAACGTAACTGTGCCGCACACCTTGAGATATAGTTCTAAGGTCTCAGTATAGTCACAACGGCTATCCCACCCTTCAAACCGAAACGCATTACTGCTTCACGGCAGAAATAGGCGGGGCGGTGGTGGGCGTGCGGACTCACAAGAGGTCCTACCACCAGTCAACTCATAATGAATGAGAAGACTAGCTGGCCCGGCAAACATTGTTTTGGCATATAATTTATTTCTATGAAAGCTAAATAGCCTAGATACAGACTGCAGCACCATCTGCCGGGCTTATTTTTAAATCTAAATCATTCTCGAATCAACTTAAAGGTACACAGAAAATTACATTAAAATCGGTCCAGCCGTTTAGGAGGAGTTCAGTGACAAACACACGCACATAAGAAATATTTAAATAAAGATTTATATACTCGTAAAAGCACGTTTCATTGCTTGTTGACAAAAATGTTTCACAGCAATTATAAATACCATCAATATTTATGTGCCATGAAGGGACAAGTAACCTTCACTACGTCTTGCTGCTTAAAATTCTTAATGCTACAGCGAATCGTATAGTTAGGCCAATGAAATTTTTATGAGATCGATTCCACGGGAAACTCGTCAAATTTCACCATTCCCTTCCCATTGAAAGCATGGTCTTTGTGCCCCCTATCTTTATTTGCCTCGAAAGAGCCAAATCTGTAATAGAAATCTCTTTACGCTCACAAGCTGAATTGAAATTCAAATACAAAGTGTACACGAAAGTGTGCGGTGCACGAGTTCGGCTCATGCATATTTTTTTAACCAAATGAATGAACGTCGCGAGTGAAAACAAAAGAATCGGAAACGATCACGTAGTATTTATTCCATGGGTTCACCTATCTATACATATAAATTATTGGAGGGTATGTTTGTAATATTGAAATAACCACTTTTTACTACATGCATATGAATATATACTAGAGGTCCCGCAGTAGTCGGAATTCGACTATAACTAGTCAGGTCATAAGTATTGTCACACAGTAAAAACTTTTCTTTTAGAATCCTGGCCACAAAAAAGTTTATTGAATTCGAATTTCGAATTGTTCATGAAAATAAAAATGTATACTTTTAGAATTTTACTCATTTTTAAATATGGAGTGGACGCTTAAAGAAGACCGTGTTGCAGTTATTGCGTTGATTCGTTGCGGTTACGCGCCAATTCAAATTTTTAACATACTGAAAAATTTTAATATAACCAAAAGATTCGTTTATCGTACCATCAAACGATACAATGAAGACTCTAGTGTAGATGACAGGTCAAGAAATGGTCGCCCTCGGCCTGTTAGGACTCCAGCAGTGATAAAGCTGTGAAGGCGCGAATTCAAAGAAATCCCAAACGTAAGCAGAAACTGTTGGCCCTTCAGATGGGGTTAAGCAGAACCACGGTGAAAAGGGTGTTAAATGAAGACTTAGGGCTTCGGGCATATCGAACAAAAATAGGACATCGTTTGAATGCTCGTATAATGGATCTGAGACTGAAGAGATGCCGCGCTTTGTTGAAGCGGTACGCGGGAAAAAAATATCGGGAAATTCTTTTTTCGGATGAAAAAATTTTTACCGTAGAAGAGAGCTACAACAAACAAAATGATAAGGTGTACGCACACAATAGTGAAGAAGCGAGCAACCATATTCCGCGTGTCC